CCTTCTAATTGACTGTGAGAATGGCCAGTCCGGCGCCTCGGGCAGTGAGACGGGTTGGTCCCGGCCTCCCCCGCCGAGCGGTGCAAAGGTAGGTGGAACTGAGGGATGAAGACACGCATCCGCGTTCCGAGAGCAGAGACAAAATCAGATGGTGATTTCCAAGACGAATCATCTGTGATCGAATTCCGCCTCGCTGAGGTGAAGCCCCTGGCCGTCCATTTCGGGGAGCTCATCAACCAACCAGGATACATCATGCCTGGTCGGAGCTACCCCGGACACGGCGCCACGACGGCAGTGAGCGCTTCTTGACGATGCATCATCAGGGAAACACCGTACGCATCGTCCAATGCTGTTGCTCGCTCGAAGAAATGGTTCAACAATCAGCGAATCGATCGGTCGCGGTCAGTATAGACGGACTACAAACAAGACAAACAAGACAACTGAAGACAAACAAGCAAACCGCCAGTGGGCAGTCGCCACCGTACGCTATCGGTAGCCGCTTGACAGCTCGCCTCGTAACCAATGATCCGGGCGGTCAATGATGTAAGAACGAGGTAAAAGGGGTCACTCGAAGTCAAGTAGCTACCAGACATCCTTAGAGGTAGGTGTTGTCAATGAATAATTTGATCACGCCACGTTATGTGATGTCGTTACAAACAGCAAACAGTGAACAGCTCGGTCCCGCCGATCTCTACCTTCCGGGTCTTTCCCGACAATGCACATTGCATTTACACCTGCACCGACCCATGTTATGCCGAAATACCTGTACCAAGTACCTGCAGAGCCCCGACAATCCACCCGATAACCCCGAGGGCACTGCGCCCGCCAGGGGAACCACCGCACTCAGCCCAGCCACTCGAGTCCGCACCAGGTACAGTCCCGGTCAACTCGTGTGCCCCCACCGGCACGAAGGACCCGCAGCAGCACGCACTGCGCTTTACCCACCTACTCAGCCGACGGGAGCTAATTAAAAGCCCTAACGAAGGCCTGTCGAGGCTCTACTCTGAGCTATTCCCCGTCTCAGAAATGGTTCGATCCGTCGCTCGCACACAGACGCACAGACAAGCGCCGGTGCAAACAGCGGCCGCGCAGGTCGGCAGGGGGACATCACGGAAATTGGACCGTATTGACCGGCGGGCAGATCGAGCGCCTCTAGCCTCGGGCCGAGCCGGTGCGAAATGGCTCCAATCGGAGCCGGGCGGACGTCGTGATCCGGCGGACGCCAATAGATCGACTGATCCCGGGCCGTGGGTAGCAGTCGAGGGCACCTCCGCAGAGCTGTGTCTGAGGATGGATAAGATGAGACTACAGCGGCGTCTTGTAGCGCTCGAGTTTCAGAGTGATCCCCTAATAACCTCAGCTGGTAAGGATAGTGCCATCATGCATTAGTTGTGGCTTTCCGAGCGACAGTTCAACCATTCGCTCATTTTCTTCTCGTTTGGCAATTGAGCAACTCACTTCCATAATTCATAATTTCCGACGAAATTCTTCCACAATGAATCAGTTCAGTTAAGACCAATCAAAAATCTTATTTAATGAACAATAATCCAGGCGACGGCCTTATTTGAGTTCAATCAAATCAGCCAATTCCAGGCCCAGGGTATTGATTGAATTGAGTTCACTAACCGCCAGTCACATTTCTTGCACGGGCTGGGCTGGAATACCGCTGGAGGATAAATGAAAAAGCACACAAATAACAAAAACACAGCATATATAGGATGTTATGACAGGTCTCACCATTCACAAGCGGCAAAGTCAATGAAGAAGTAACACAAAGGCACTGATTGAAATCAGACGTTTGAAAGCAGAGCAAGTTGCTTCAAGCAGCAATGCATTAATTACTTCATTCAAGCGAAACGATTCAATCAGTGCATCGATAAGACTGAGCAGCTTTTCGTGATTTGCACTTTAAAAAGTTGATCGACAAACGCCATTTAATTCTGCTCTTTGTTCAACTGTCAAGCAGTCAAAGCTGTAGCTGTAACATCACACACCCATCTCCAAAGCTCTTCCATCAGATTCCACCAATGTTCGCTATCAATGTCTGCCCAGCAACGTTCCAAGTCGGAATGCTCCGGCAAGCAGTGACCGTTCCTTGCGTCCACTTCCTTCTAGCAGCAGACATTCCTTGCTGCTTTCGGTCCGGGCAATCCCGGCAGTTCCTTGTCGCTCTTGTTCCAGGCAATTCCGGCTACTCCTTGCGCTCTATGTAGTTCCGGATCGGGTCATCCCAGCTGTTCGCTGCTCCCTTAGCTTCCGGTGATCCCGAGTATTCCTCGCTGGTTTGTTCCGGGCAATTTCGGTTGTTCAGTATCGCCTGCGTTGAGTTCTGACCAGCAGCGGTTTTAGCTTTGTTGTGAGCTGCAGTGTTTTCTCGGGGTCCCACCGGGCCGGGCCCCTACCACCCCAGAAGCCGCCGGGCTCGGGGTCAGCCGTCCCACAGTGTGACGTGACACTGTGTTCAATAAGTTCTGGGGAGTGAAACGAGCGACGTCGGCCAGCGTCGCAGCGTCTGACGCGCGCGCGGCCGGCGGCCGACGGAGCGGCGCGATCGGCCATCGGTCCCAATCGGAGCCGCCGTCACCGCTGTGACGGCTGCCCGACGGGTCAGCGGCGCGTGTCGCTGGCGACGCGGCCACCCTCCCCCTCCCCCTCCCACCAAGGCCGCCGCCACCGCCAGCCGGCGACGGTATAAATAGACGACAAGCTGACAAGTACCGAAACGTTCCACTTATTTCGCTCATGGACAGATGCCGACCGCGCGCCGCCGGTTTCCCGCGCGCCACGGGAAAAATGCACCGCTATCCGCAATGGAAAGGAAGGTCCGGCCGTAATTCGTGATTTGCGGCCATGGCTGGGGTGGCGGAGACACCCCTCCCCTCCCGCGGACCGCCGCCACCGGGCCAGCAGCCCAATCGCCTCTCACCAGCCTCCACAGCAGCTGTGATGGCCGCCCCTGCTGGCTCCCTGCATACCCGCATAGGCGACATGACCGAGCTCATTACGCCAGGAAACCTACCTCATAACGCGGCCCGCGTGACCTTTAATACAGCGCAGGAAGAAAATAGCTGCTAGTTAAATAATAACGATCCCTATCAGCCGCACAAAGGAAGTATGCTGCAGGCAAACGGAACGTAGCGCTAACACATTCAGTGTTGTGTCCACAGTCCGTACACAATCATCCGACAACAAGACCATCCCGGTATCTGGGCATTCATTCTGTATGACGGGCCCGCCGCCCGCCGATAGCCGCCGGTGCCGCCATTACCGACCAGCGGCCAGCCACGATAACACGCCGTCTAAAACCAGACAAAGATCAATAAACTATCTCGACGGACGACGCAGCGCCAGCAAACGAGCCACGACGACGCCCGTCCAGCGCGGACGCACTGTCGGGGAAAAACGCGCACAAGCAAATAGCGAGCCCCGGCCAAACAGCTGATGCGGGCTGGCGCTGCGCGTCGCGAGAGGTTCGTCCTGGTGGGCTGGCATGGCTAGTAGCGTCGGGCGCCCAGTAGTGCCACGGATTCGGGGTGTGAAGAGCTTGTGGTGGTTTGAAGTCAACACCAGTGACTAGCATTGACGATAGGGAGATACGAAGGCGGAGGGTATACACATTTGGGTCCGAGAGACGCGCTAGCCTAGCGTACAGCGCTGAAGCGCCGCTGTATGGCAAAGCCGACTCGTACCGACAAACCGTGACTGGAAATGAATCACAGCTGTACCACGCTACCTTCTGAATGACGCTCGGGTATTAGACCACCAGGAAAACGGACCACTTAAGGCAAAACAGCGTCTACGTTACCGCAAGGAGCGTCCGATTATATTCCAACAATCGCGAAACAGCTGGTTATCCCACAACCTGGTGACGCTCATGACACAGCAAGGCTTCATTTTACGTGATTGAAGACACATACATATGCGAGGTCAACGCAGCCAATTTCCAATGCAACCTTGAAGCTTACTGAAGTACATTTCGCTGGCATCGGACATCATGCTACTGAATCAAGAAGCATTCTCAGGAAGCGGGTTTGTTGCGGATGCAATGCGCCGAACAGCAGGTCGATATCAGTTCAGGTCGCCGCGGGGCGGACCGTGCAGGCGCGAGCCAAAGTTCATTTTGTCGCCAGTAACCTTAATCTGGCCGGACAAGGCGGCGATAGCGCAAATCCTTGGGCCAATATAGCGACACGCACGACACCGGGCCGCCACCAGAAACCCGCGTCACTCGCGCAGATAAGGAAAGGCACGTCAAGTGCCCGGATATTAAGCTGCCGTAAGTCGGCAGACGTGGCCTCATGGCGGACACATAACGGTAAGTTGAGGGTTCCTTGTTGCGTAGCCAGTTAACTTGTTAAATTTGGTCATTACAAATGTAGCTTCCTTATCCTCAGTTTGCGGCATAGTATGTGGTGCATTTTTATTTGCGGGTAAGGGGGAAGAAAGAGTTATTGGTTAATTCCAAAGGAGTCACGAAGAAGTAGTGACTAAACAAATATACATATGTGTCAAGTGGGTTGATAGATGCCCTCAACAGTCGCACCAAAAGAGGGCAGGTAACGTGCACCAAAACCCACGCCAAGTCCTCAAGTACTGTGCGCGGCTTATCAAATATGCGTCATAAATCTTCCGCTCGACGCGAGATAACGAACCGTCGCACATAAATAATGTTCGTCCGATGGGCGCAGCCTGGCCAGTCCTAGTCACACCTCATGGCTGACGTCCCACGGGCATAATTCACAGAGCATGACCAACTAAAGCCGAGCACACGACGCGGGGATATATGCCAGCTGACCGTTCCAGATAATCGATCTATCCGAGCGGTACATGACTACCGACTTCATAGCGGGGTCTATGTAAGTACAACTCAAGCACGACCCCAATGACTTCACAGACCGACGGAACCAGTGTGGGCTTAGGATGACCCTGATATTACCTCACCATGACCTTGTGAACTCAGCGTGACCCAGTGCGACTACCCAGACCCCCTCCGAACTGACCTGGGGTCGGGCAGGACGATCTTCTTGCTGGCCCGCGCTGCCGGCGTCGACTTGGACTTCTCCATGGCCATGAGGTAGCTGACGTCCGCCAGCACCGCCTCGAGGTCCGCCATGGTGCTGACTGGGGTGCAGGTGGCTGCTGCTGCGGTCGGTCAGGTCACTCACTCCCCAGCCCGTCCCGACGGGCCCGCAGCGTCCCGACGGCCGCGGTTCGGCGCCGCGCAGGCAGGACACTCGGAGAAGTTCCCGTGGATCGCCAGCTATCTCAGGTGTGCGGAAGGCCACTCCACGGTCGGTGTCACGGGTCGATCGAAGGACGCCAGCTGGTGCGGCAGGTCACCAGTAGGGCAGCCGCAGGTCAGCCGTACGACCACGATCAGAGAGGACCCGGTCCGGCCCCGGCGCTAGCGCTTCTGTGGAAGAAGAGACGATACATCAGCCACTCGAGTGGTAAAAGCCGAACGCAAAAACTCGGCAAATCAAGACAGATGACTGGACATAAGCCAGACAGAAATGGAGGCGATCAAACTACCGGCCTCAGTATCCGCTGCAGTATGGACCGGAAATCTCACCAATACGAAGCGAGCTGCTTCCTGAACACTGAAAGCTTGCGTGATACATATAGCTTCCGTCTGAAAGCAACGACGCATAATAAAGCCACGGTCTGTATGCACTGTTATCCGTTGCCACGCAACTCAGCAAACACAGCGAATAGGAAGAAGCCTCAGACCGTGCGTAACTAGCGTGCGCGTGAGGAAACAATGTTCACTCTAACGCGTGAACAATACAGACATAAATCAATACCCTAAACGCTGTGCTGGGGCCGCGTTGCGCTCCGTTTCACTAATTAACTCCATAATTCACTCAGAGCTAACGAACTTGCCACCAGTTGCCCCGATACGAAAACGAGCAACTTCTGTTATGGCGTCATAAACTGAGTCTGGCCGCTGTCTTCGCTGGGCGCCAGAGCGGAAGTCTGTGCCTTTAGAGGCTGGCCACGTTTCGTGATGGCAAATAGACAGGTCGGGCTGCGGAACTATTTGTGAGGCGCACAGAAACAGCTCAGGGAGAAAAACTGGGGTACAATCTCAATGGTCAAAGTAAGAACTTTGTTTAGTAAAGAGAGGCTACACATCTGTCCAAAAGAGTCAAACTTACCAAATGTTGAAAATCGCACGCATTATAAATAGCGCGTAGGTACTGCTTTTGCTAAGAGCATTATAACCCTAGAACGCCTAGGGGGGGGGGGGTTGTATCAACCCCCCCCCTCCCCTGAGGTTTTTTCGAAGTGCACGCTAAACGGCTTGTCGTAGCGGGCTGAAATTTTCAAAACCCTCTGGGGCAACCTTTGCGCATCTTTTGCCGAAAAAAAAAATTGATCGGGTCATGTCAGGTCACGGAGTTATGACGTCATAAGAGGTACAGCCTCCGGCCGACAGTTACCAAACGTGTGCGCCGAATCCCTAGGTTTTCTGCCGGTGATACCCACATTGTTTGATGGATCATGATGAAACTTCCCATGCATGTTGGGGCAAGCATTGGCTATCGTGTGGTGCAAGAAAATTGACCGGGTCAGGTCAGGTCACGGAGCTATGACGTCACAAGAGGAACAGCGTCCGGTACTATTTTTGAAAAGCGCCCGAACCACTATTTTGCTAATTCTTGTCACCTCAATGGGAATATGCAGCAATATTAGCTTCTATAGGGAGCAAATGGACCTCCCAAATCCAAAAATACAATCAGATTTCAAAAATTTAAATTTTGATTTTTCGAATTTCTGCCGCCGACTGTGACCTTGCCGACTTCCGGCGCTCCCAACGCGCCATTTTTAGAGCTAGGGAAACGAAATACATACCAAACGATAGAGAATTGATCAAGGAACACGATAGTGAAGGTTTCAAGTCGATATCTTCCACCGTTTTGCCGCAATCGCCGCGGAAAGTTGAAAAAGTTTGATTTTTTCGGAAAATTTGACCTTTGACCGGTCATAAGTAGGTCAAATGTTGACCTAGGACCAAAAAATATACCACCAATCGCGAGATCTCGTTGAGAGCAATCCGTTGGTTTTTTCCGCTAAGCTCTACGACCTTCCGTTTCGAAACGCCAGGGGGGGTCGTAACAACCCCCCCCCCCCTGGTCGTTCGTGTTATGAGAAATGGCCTGGTCGTGCGAGGGATAAATACCTACTTTTAATCGTACCTAATGCCGGTACATAAGGAATCCCAAAACGCGCAATTAGGTATCACAAATAGACCATAAAAGTGTTTTAATTACCTACACTTTTTACTTTCGAAAAAGTTCACTGGCAGTCAGACGCGGTAAGTTGTTAACTGGTAGCAAACTACCTTTGACCGCCTCACCGCAGTCTGAGAGTAAGCGACGCACAGAAGAGTTGAATTCTCCACCCAAAGAGGTAGTCCCCGTAGTGGAACTCGGCGGATTCAGCACAACTGTGTAACCAACTTTCACAGCTGTCAATTTCAGGCCGAGTCCTGCCATTCACAGCCAGGTTCAAAATTAGCTGCAAAATGTTTCCAGTTTTTGGGAATCACCGTAAGCTTACACAGCACTCTGTCTGAGAGCTTACACAGTTCCTTCTCCACTCTGTCGCACAAGTACTACTCACTCTACCTCTCGAACGATAAGGGTTCTGCCAGTTTGAGATGCGAGTGCAAGATTAGATGAAGTGCAGAGCTTCCCAAGCCACCAACATCTGCTTTGTTGGTAAATTGCGAGCTCCCACAGCTCCCAAGAAGCCATACCTATCTCACAAACACAAACCTATCATGACTGTTCCCACCGCAGCCTATTTCGCAGCTGTTCTCACCCGAAAGTTACATTCCACTGCTCCCGTTCACCCCGAATAATCCCGCGGCTCTCCCCGCCATGAACTGCCCAGGAGCTCTCCCGTACCTTCCCGTGCTGTCAGAGCTCTCACGTGTCTGTACCAGCCACCGGATGAGCTCTCGCTGCTCTCTGACCGCAGAGTTTCGACTCCCAGCCCACAACTCCTCATGAAAAATCTGCCCGTCACTAAGGCGAATGCACCGCCACCCTGTGGGGAATAGATGCAACCCAACAGCTTGCAAATACCAATCGTAACGCCCAATAAGTTTGATGTGTGATCCCAGCATCATATGTAGGACCGTTTGTTACATTGAGTTCTTTGAGGGTTCAAATGAAGGAAGGGGTCAGTCGACCACAGCACAGGTTTACCAAAGAATTTGACACCACATAAAGGGTCCCTAACGAACAAGGCAAGCATCCTGACTCTACGTCGAAGTATCAGTTCTGGGTATGTAGCCGACCAAAGCAGCAGAATAGCGAGATGGGATCGCCCCCGGAGGAGTCCGCCCGGCCCGCTCGCAGCTTCTCCAGGGGACCCGGGGTCACGGAGCTACCCGTCGGGGTCACAGGGGTCATACGAATGGTCATCGGGATCGACCAAATTCAGCGCTGACTGAGTTCATCCAGAACCTCAGAACGAAAAGCTTTGTGTGGAATTGGGGGATCAGCAGACGGCAGGGATAAGAAATCGGACGATATGAGCCGGAACAGCGACCAGATGATATGAGCCGGAACAGAGATCAGCGCCTGAACGACAGCCAACGACGTAAAACCTTCCAACGACCGACATAAGAACTGATGACAAAACACGTAAATGTGGGTATTAGAGGGACATCTAAATGTTTCTTATAAATATATTACGTAAGAATTATTGATGAAGTCAATCCTTAGCCCCAAAAACATCCTTAATGCATCAATCACGCCCTTAGCAGACCCCCAACAATACACCCAGTCCTCACATGCGCACACAGGACGAAGTGCCGTTATTTCTGCCCCCTGCCCCAATCTACGCTCCGGTCAAAAAGTAAACACCCACAGCGGACCGAGCGCTGACGAGTCATTTGGCAGGGCCCGCAGTGCGCATACGGGAGTGCGTGTAATTGATTTATGCATCAGTCAATCAAGGAAGCAATCAGTGGGCATCGATGGAGCGAAACGGCTGAGGGCGTCTCGCTTCATTGCGATGACCGGCCGTGGCCCCTTCAGCGTCTAAAAAGGAATGGATCTGCAACGGTAATCACACTGATGAGAGGTTGGCGAGGGGAAGGGAGGTAAGGCGAAGCAAATGCTGATAGCTAAAAGCAAGTTGTAACGCAACAGCATTGCATTGCCGATAATCACCAGTTGCAGAGATATTTTCAACAGCTTCGAGACCAGGGATTGCCCATCAACGCCTTGATAAAATGCATTCCATCTATCATGCATATAAGAAGTTACAACTTCCATTTTTTTAGCATATATCTAAGCCTCAAAGTCCCTCAGCAGACCGCTCGACCGATATATCAAAATGTATAATCTCTTATTCGTTAGTCGTTCGGCTAGGAACCCGATACGTAACATCCAATCAGACTTCGAGCCGGCGCCGGCAGCACATCCCGCACTTCCCATCCTTGCTTTGTTGCTCACCGCTCAACTTTTCTACAAGGGGACAATCTATACCTCACCGCCTGGTAATAACACACAGCTTGTCACAGAGAAAGAATGTCGGAAAGACAGGATGGGATGTCGCACGACACGATTTTGCCGACGAGACAGCTCACTATGCCAGCTCTCGTTCAGGGCAGTTCGCAGTCCATTAGCAGCTAAATCACTGTCGGTTCGCCCAGCGCCGTCAATATTTATCCGCGGCTGGCCATCCGCCGTCCCTGCGGTTTCCCGTGGAAGCCACTCCTTCGATGGTCGTCCAGTCGTCAGCCAGTCGGTCCATCTGATAACCGGATTTACCAGCAACGTTAGCAACTAATGAAGGAGCAAACGAGTCGAAGGAAAATGCGACTGACAGATATACTACTACCAATTTGTCAGGGACGTCGGCGTGACCAACCTTCCACGTCGTACGAAACGTCGCCTTTAGTCCATCTTCATTTTTCGTCCTGCGTTTTCATTCACGCAAGACCGATTCCATCGCCGGTTACCGGCTGTCAGTGATTCGATGCTCTGGTGACCAATAGCCCAGTTATTCGATGAACGACGACCTGGTGATCCAGTGAAGCGGCTCGGTGACGGAGCGGTGCACCTGTTACAACAGTCGGCGTCACTGACCCGATGAGCAATGCTCAGGTGATCAGTGACGGGCCATCCGTTCTAGCGGCGGCGCGGTCGGTTATGACAGCTCACAGAAGCAAATGGGATGGCCGCCAGCCAATACTCAAACCCGGAAAGGTCGCCGAGAACGCCCCTCCCTCCGAGCCCGCCGGCGGGCGATACGGAACCGACGGCAGCGGCCGACGCGACTGTACAGACAGTCTGCGAGCTCAGCGAGTCTGACGCGCATTACACTTCTCAGAGCCGCGGCCCGAGCTACGTTGACGAGGCGGCGTCATCGCCGTCGGCTGCAGGTGGCGGC